TCCGTCCCCGTTTCCTGTTATGTTATGGGGATGATGGACATTTTATAACTTAGTGGCATTGATCTTATGTGTTGTAAAAGTGTGTTCTTTGAATTTATGGAATAATATTATTTTATAAGAAACGTTAGTTTGTACGTAGTAAGATTTAGTAGAATTAAAAACAGTTAATTAGTGAAATGATTTTATATATGTTATTTACGTAAGTAAATAACATAGTATTCATAGTATTCATATTTTATATATGTTATTTACGTAAGTAAATAACATATTTTATACATAGTATTCATACGTAAACTAAAAACACATGATTTCGTAGAATATAAATTATGACTTCCACTCACTTGCTAATATATTACGTAAGTATTGCCTCTCAAATGAATGCATGTGATTTGCTAATATTATACTCTACTTATATGTAGTATGTTATTATGATTACTTTTGTAAACTAAAATAAAATATAAGATGCATGAATTAGTTGGACCGACATATGAATAAATGAAACAAAAAATAAACTCTTAACATTGTTAGTGAACAGGTTTGTAGTTATACTACGTATGTTTTACTTGTTATATTTAAATTAGTTTAAGTGTGTAAAATGAATGATTTAATATGAAATATTTGCTTAAGTACTATGATCACTTTTAAGTTATAACGATTTATGAATATACACACTTCATCACTTTGAGCAGGCAACATAGTTTGAATAATTACTTAATCTGAATATTTACTTAAGCACTATGATCACTTTTCCTAAATGATTTTAGAGAAATATTTCTTGATTTTATTAATAAGTAATAATGATAAAAATATTAAAGTTATATTTTCTGAAAAGCCTTGCTCTCGGTCTGGCACTCTGACGTGAATACTTCTGTTCTGTTTAGTGTACTACGTACACTCCTGAAATTTCGTTTTAGAGGAACTAGTGTTCTCCTGTTTAGTGTACTCCGTACACTCTTGAAATCTTTTAGAACACTATTACTCTCCTGTTAAGGATCGGGTCTCTTCGGTGATCTCGTCCTTTCAGTTCAGCTAGCTCCTGTCAGGGATTGGTACGTGTAGCTCCGGCGATTACGTTTCCATATCCTTTCTGGGTAATGTGGGTACAAACTCGAGACTGTATTCCTTACCGTTAGTATTCCTCTGTCTAGGTCCAGTTTCTTGAGTTTAAGGCTAAGTAAATTAGTCTGTCTTATTAACTATTCATAAAGAAAAACATGAATTATGTGCTAGTCAAATATCTGATCTTGTTCTGTTCTGTATATGAATATTCTGAAATGCATGTAATTTTATCCAGTTCAATCAGGTTTGTTCTAATAATCACATGCTAATTACGATATGTTTGATATATGCTTCAATATGTTATACGTAGTATGTATTATTACCGTACCACTCAGCACATTGCTGAGCGGGTAGTTGTTTGTTGTTTTTCCTACCCGTAGGTCAAGCTCAGGATCAACTTGAAGCATCGGGATGAAGGGAGGCATAGGTCTCATATGCATATGGTGTGTTTTGGGGTCCTTTAAAGTATGGGATGTGTATTAAAATAAACTTTATTTTGATATTTTGTAAGAACCTTCCGCTGCAATTAAATGAATTTTGTGACGTTGACGTTATACCTGTTTAATAAATTTTTACTTATTTTGGGCTGGTAAGTTCCAATTATTCAATAATAAAAGTATGTTGTAAATCTGTTAAATATGGCCTAACCTGATGAAATTTTTAAATAAGTCTTTTTCGATTTCCGCCTCGTGACACACCGCTCGGGTCGGCGGGGTCGATCCGGGTGGGGTGTTACACATCTAGAATCCCAAAAAGACTGTGGGAAACCAGAAAAGACTCAAATTGAGTACGCCACGGAAGATAATCTAGTAGTAACAATATTCGAAACGTTGGGTGTAGAAAAACCCAATTGAGCCGCCATTGAGGCTAAAGAGGATGGATGAGAAGTAAAACCTCGAAGGTGCAGAGGGGACTGTTGCGTCACTGAACCAACCCCTGGTTGGCCTGAGAAGGTAGAACCAGAGAAGATGGGCGGCGGTGGAAGCTGTTGATCCAGAATCGTCCGAGGCTGGATGAATGGTGTTGATGAAGACGCTGCAGCAGAATGAGATGGAGTCGGAATCCACGAAAAAGCGTCTGACATGTTAAATAACCGATATGCAGACATGGAGGGAGGAAGAGACACACCAGCAAAGGAGCTTTGATGTTGATGCACCACCGGCGAGGAGATAGACGAGGAATAGGACTCTGCTAGGAAAACCGCCGGTGCCATGGTGACAGACTGTGGCTGCTCGGACAGGGATCCCTGCGACATGGTGCTCGCGGTGATGACCGAAGAAGATGCAGTCGTGAAGCAGACGTAGAAGCCATCGCAAAAAAAAAAAAAAAGGCGGCAGCTAGAAAAATTAGGTGTAAACCTAAGCTGCTGATACCATATGAAATAATAAGATGGAATAATGGCTCACCCTATTAGGGTGTCCTGGTGGTCTATATATAATAAACAGATAAATAGAAAAATTACAAATATGTCCCGATACTATAGATTATTACTTGTTACGTCTCCATCTTAAATTAAAGTTGTATCATTTTGAAGCTGCGTTTTTACCTTGAATATTTTGTTTTAGTTGAAAAATCAGGGCACTTTTATTATTGTAAAAAAAAATCTCTTAGATTGATATAGAATACTACTTCTGTCCCGTTTAAATGTTCTCATTTTAAAACAACACGATTAATTAGGAAATAATTAAATAACATAATTCGAATATATTTTGAGAAATAATTTTGATGTGTACATAATAAATGAGGTCATTGGTGATAATTGTGGTGTTCATAGGCGGACCCAAGAAATCTATCTTGGGGGGTTCAAAATATTTTTTAGGGGGCAAAAATTATATTTTAAGAGACGAAAATTATTTTTCGTATATATATACCTTAAATTTTTGTTGTTGTGAGGGCGGTAGCTCCCTCGGGTCTGTACTACGGTCCGCCCCTGGTGGTGTTATAGATGTATTATTTTTAGGTGAAATTCACAAGAATAATCCGGACTTTTAGGGATTCTACAATAATAATCCCTACTGAGAGTGACTACAAAAATAATCCGAACTAACAATATTGTTCATAAGAATAAATTGGGTGAATTCAAATTAATGTCTGTTTAATACTTTCAACACTTGCTCTCGCTTTTCTCTTCCTCGAGACGAAGAGTGACGAATGAGAAAGTGGAAGTAGAGCTTGGAAATATTAAATGAGCATTAGTTTGAATTAATTTTGATTTATTCTTATGGACATTATTGCTAGTAAGGATTATATTTATAGATACTCTAAGTATGGATTATTATTGTAGAATCCATAAAAGTATGAATTATTCTTGTGAATTTCACCTTATTTTTAATATTTGATGATTAAATTGTCATTGAAGAGTGTTAATTGTTTCCTAAAATAGAAATGAAAACTTTTATATAAGATGTCCAAAAATAGAAACTGCGAACTTTAGGGGGCGTCCCTAACTATGACTTGATTTTGAAAGGTTATGAATTTTGAAATCCAACAAGTGCCTATAAGATTTGTGGTGAATGTTTTGTATGTAAAAATTCACTAAATCAATTAAAATCCATCCAAATAAGTAATAATAGAAATTCACATAATGTTTGGAGAAAACCTTTATTCATTCATAGATTCCACATAAATTCAAATTAGGGACATCTAAATTTTGATAAAATTCTAAACTCCATTAAAATTCTCCAAAATAGGGTTCTAAATTAAGCATGTTGGGAACATATCTCAGAATGAGACGGATGGAGTAATAAATATATAGTGCTACTTGTACTCACTTCCTCATACCTCAGATGAGTGAGAATAAGGGGATTTTTCTAAATTAAGCATATTCATAAGTAAGAATGTTTTGTGCATGTTTGTGCTCTGTTCATATTAAATACTCCGTAGCAGTTCACAGACGATCTTAATAATTCACAACTAACTGAACTAGCTCAATGTCATTAGTAACTCTCTCGCATTTCTACCGAGTGCCTGCCTGTCTGGTATAACATGTTTATAAATACTCCACTGTCCCTTATAACTTTGTTAACTTTTCTTTTTGGATGTCCCATTAAGAGTATCTTCAATGGCTAGTAATACATGGTGCAACTTTGCTTGCCACATTAGTCTTTTCTGGCTAATACATTTTCAAGCAACGTGATACTTCAATGGTTAGCTACAATGTTTCCCTCTTGGGTTGACCCCACAAATGACCAATCAATCAATTTTTAAAATACACATTTTGAACGAATTGATTTATTAATTCAATGAAAATAATACTTATTCTTAAATTTAAATACATATTCTTATTCTTATATATTTTTCCAATACTTATACTACTAATTCTTATTTAAATACTTAAGAATAATACTTATTCTTAAATACTACTTATTCTTATTTAAATACTTATTCTTAAATACTACTCGCATCTTATTTTTCCCTTTAATTAATTTAGTATTTCGATCCCTCTGTCTTATTCAAACGTTTTCACTTTCTTTTTTGGACGTTCAATATAGAAATTCTCATTTCTATTAAAAATAATTAAAACTCTCAAACGAAAATTTAATAATCAAATATTAAAAATAATACATTTTTTAACATCACAGTTATCATCAATGACCACATTATAATATTTGAGTATACTCGAATATTTTTATTGATAATTGTCTAAATAACTGAGTATATCAATTATCCAATAGATTAAATATATTTGGCAATTACCATTTTAGTTCAAACTTCTCTTCCTCTAGCAACTAGCTTGTATTGGCTAATTTGCTTGTCCAAGCTACAAGGAAATATACACTCCTGTAGATTACTAGCTTGAATATTTTTAAAAATTGCAAGCAAATCCTTAGGAGAAACCATTGGAGATGCTCTAACTTTGTCACTTTCATTTTAAGTAAAGAATTTGTAATTCGAGTTAATTCCGTTTCCTCTTCACCGACTTTCAATCATGCCGTCAAACTTGTCAATCTCGTCGGATTTCTGGCATTTTAAATTTTTAACCCAAAGGCATCGCGATGGAGAACGCGGGCGTGTTGATGATGTGTCCTATCTCGTCCTATCTCGAAGCGCAGATTGACGAGCGCTTGAAGCTCTTCAGACTGTGGGACGCTTCTCCTTCCATGTCCGATTTCCTGAAGCTCAATGCCCGTTCAATTCGAGCCGTCGTCGGAAGCGCATCGCACGGGACTGATTCGGGGCTCATCGACTCGCTTCCCAACCTTGAAATCGTCTCCACCTGCAGTGTGGGTTACGATAAAATTGACCTGGCTAAGTGCAGAGAGAGGGGAATTCGAGTCACCAACACTCCCAATGTGCTGACGGACGAGGTCGCCGATGCGGCGATAGCGCTGGTCTTGGCGACGTTGAGGAGAATCTGCGCTGCTGATGCTTTCGTCAGAAGTGGGCTATGGAGGAGTTGCAATTTTGAGCTGGCCACCAAGGTATATCAAACTCATTCCGCATCATATATGAATGTTGTCCAGGAAAGTTTCGGTTTTTATGCGTTGCTATAGTAGTGATGATGCTCGTAGATTTAAATGCCCAGTCTTAGGGATGAAATGGAAGCTGAATCTAAAAAATTTGCAACTCATTCTCACTCATTACCTACTGTACGTTCATCGTACAAGTTAAGAGTAGTATATACTATCGTACTAACTAGAACAATGTACCAATACAGTAATACAGATAGGAAGCTATCAATAAAACTAATAATAAGAATTATTAACACTAATATTATAATGAGGATTTATGAGCTTGTTTGGTTCCTCGAACCCTCTAAAAAGCCTGTATCACATTGGCAGTCCATAACTCCATTAGGCTTTTTGCTTCTGCTGCATCCCCTCTCAGTCCCCCAATTTTTTTATTGTTCCAGTTCAGTGGTAAATCAGTTGGGATAATAGGGTTAGGCAGAATTGGTTCAGCAATAGCAAAGAGAGCTGAAGCATTTGGCTGCAGAATCAGCTACACCTCTAGACTGAAGAAACCCCATATCAACTACACATTCCACTCGAGTGTCGTTGGTTTGGCTGCTGATTCTCAAATCCTAATTGTTGCTTGTTCGTTGACAGAAGAAACGCGACACATTGTAGATCGAAAGGTCATTGATGCTTTAGGTCCAAATGGCGTTCTAATCAACATAGGACGAGGTGCCCATGTGGATGAACCTGAACTTGTGTCTGCTTTGCTTGAAGGACGGTTAGGTGGGGCAGGGCTTGATGTTTACGAGAACGAGCCCGATGTGCCAGATGTGCTTTTTGGGCTGCGAAATGTTGTTCTTCTGCCTCATGTTGCAAGCGACACTGTTGAAACTTCCCAGTCCATGGCTGATCTTGTTGTTGCAAATTTGGAGGCTCATTTTCTTAACAAACCTTTACTATCGCCTGTGATTTGAATGGTCTTTGGAAAGTTTCTTGGGGTTTCAGCTGACCTCTCTCCCTGTGACCCTGTTTCTCTAGGTGCTAGTCACCATTTTCCTTTCTTTGAGAAGTATCATTTTTTAGTCTTAAAATTGTAGAAGTAATGTTGGTATCATTTTGTCTTTTTTATTTTATCCGAAATATATGTATATGTACTCCTTCCTGACTTCTTGAGTTTTTAGGCAAAATTAGGGGGGCATAAAAACCGACCCGAACCGGTACAGAACCAGACTGTGATGGTACCGAACCGAATACCGGGTATTTAAACGGTTCCATAGAATGTTATCCCGAAATAGCACCGTTTCAAACGGGTACGGGGCCGGTCCCAGATTTTGTGAACATAAAAATATTGAATCGAACCATTTAAAAATAATGCATTTGAGATTTTTATGTTTTTTCCATACCAATGAATTTTTTTAGACCAAAATTTTTAGTCCAAGTATGTATTCATGCATCCCTAAAATAGCTAAATTTGTGTGTATATAAATATTGTTATTTTTTCCTCTTACATAATTTATGTTATATTTAGTACATGTTGAGAGAATGCTAAAGATTTAAAAATCCTTAATGACTTTTAAATTCTAGTAATTTAGTGTATATCACTTTTTATTGTTTCATATTTGTGTAACTTTACAACTTAATTAATATGATTTAAATTTTAGCTCTTACGATTCAACTATGAATTAAATTATAACTGATATTCATCCTAGAACAAAGAAGTTAAATTTTTCTATTATATTCAACTAGTCATCGACACGGTTCGGGCCGCCCGGCCCGGCCCGCTACTGTGCGGGCCCGGAACCGGCCCGGTTCTCGGGTCCGGGTCCGGGTCGGGCCTAGGCCCGGTGGGGGGGTTCGGGCTCGGGCCTTGTATTTGGCGAACCGGCCCGGCCGGGTCGGGCCCGGGTCCGGGCCTAATTGAATTTTTTTTTTCACTTTTTGGGGTTCCACCCGGGTTGGGCTTAATGGTTAGGAGGGGTTTGGGGGTTTTGGGGGGGGTGAGGGGGGGTTAGGAAAGCAAAAAAAATAAAAAAAAATAAAAAAAAAATAAAAAATAAAAAATAAAAAAACAAACCGGAGGCCCGGCCCGGACCCGGTGGCTACCCGGGCCGGTCTCGGGCCTTCCTTCCCGAAAAAAAAGCCCGGCCGGGCCCGGCCCGGGTCCATGACTATATTCAACAATTAGATGATATTCTTTTTATATTTTCACATGAATATAATAAAGATGATACTCCGTATGTATTTGGTGTAGTCTTTTTGCTATACTTTTCTTTAATTGTGTTGCACTATTATTTTTTAGTATAAATACAAAACTTTCAGCCTCTTGAGCCTTTTATAGTATTTAGTATGCATTTTTTTTTATATTTTTATCAACATTTCATGTGTGATGATTTGTCCAAATGTTTTCGCATGTGTTTGGCATTATACCGAAGCATTTTGTACTGTTCCGAAATGACATGGTATCAAATGATTTCGTTCCTATAAACAGAATGTACCAAACCGTTTAAAATCTCACGAGTACATTACGAGTTTTGCTAATTTACCGGACTATTCCGGACTGCGCCCACGCCTAGGCAAAATACTTTTTAAATTCACTTTTCCATACGTGCCCTTTTTAAAACAATAAAACATAAGATGGAGAAAATTAATAATTTAAGTTGTACAACTTCACAATTAATATCCAAATATTATTAAAAATAGAAACTTCAACAGAAAATTTAAGGAAAAAATGGCCTCAATATAACTAATGGGCTTTCCATTTAAAAATATATGACTTATTTTTCAAATCCCTAAAATATGACTTGACTCTTCCGTAACCCAGTCATTCCCATATCGCAGCCTTAATTTCATCACATCTTCAATCTTCGCGCCTGCGCAGCTTCCTCCATTGCAGCTCCCCATAATCTTGCATCGCTCCTCGACCGCAAGCAACATCGACCAGCAACTAAGATGGAGGCGTCATCCTCGATGTCCGCCGCCGCCGATTCAGACTTCCTTGATGGACGCCGCCGATTCAAACTTCCTTGATGGCCGCCACCCCTAGTTCAGTCCGCAATAGATCTACTCAATAGATCTACGGCGGTGGCTAGGCTACCAAATGTGTAGTGATGGATGCTAAGTGAGACGAGAGGCGGCGACAGTGGCCTGGTCGCAACGGGCTCGCGGTTGTGTGGGAGGCTGGGAGCTGGTCGGGGTTAGGGGCTCTTGTGAGGTGGTGGGGGATGTTGATTTGGGGTTGGGTGAACGGGGGAGGGGCTGGGTGATGCAGGGGAGGGGCTGGGTGATGCAGGGGAGGGGTTGGGGTTGGGGTTGGTGTTGGAGAGGGGCTGAGATTGACGGCCAATAGTGGTGGCAGGCGACGGTGGGAGGTGGTGGTTTCCGGCGTGGACGACGGTGAAGGAGTTCGACAAGCACTCACTGTGGCCGGCGGGCAAGCAGTCATTGTGGTAGGTGGACGGCAACCAATGAGATTAGTGTGTGGGAAGTCACTGCGGTCGGAGCCACTGTGACCGGTGGGACAGTCACTGGCCGGAATCGGGTGTCACTGTGGCCAGAATCGGGTGTCACTTTGGCCGGAGTCACTGAGATAGTGACTGCCGGTGGCGGCGGCAGCAAAGGTGGTGCTGAGGTCGGCGGTCCGGAGGTGCTGGTGGCTACCAAAGATGGACTATTAATTTAATCAAATGTATAAAAGGAATATTAAAATAATAAATATATGATTAACAATAAGATGTAAATGACTTTTAGTCACATTTTTGGAAAAATTTAAAACGGGTCACTTTTTTATCATTTTCATTCATTTTAGTAATATTGGAATAAAAAGGTCAAATTTAAGTTGTCTTAATACTGCTCATATATTGTGAGATGTTAATTGCTGGCCGTGTGCGCCACATGCTACTCTCTATTATAGGAAATGTTAAAGATAATTAAATACTCTCTCCGTCCCATAAAATTTTGTCATCTTTCCTTTTTGGGATGTTCCAAAAATTTGTTGTCACTTTATCTTTTAATTAATTATTTTGTGGTTTCTATTATTTCTCTCTCCTCTGCACAAACCTCGACCACACAGTTTTTACTTTATTATTCTCAGTGCCAGTCAACTTTGGTAAAGTTTTAAGGGTGAGAGGTAGTAAGAATTTATGCCTACGATTGTAGTATTGTACATTTGTACTGATTCAAAATTTTTAATATTTGAAATGTGTCATGTTGTTATGTCTTACGTTTTGAATTCAAATTTCAAATAGTAAAAATGTGGAACATTTGTTATTCCAATTCAATATAAACAACTCAAACAACCCTTGTTTTACCTTTTTACACTTTGAATAAACCATTTGGGGAATAAATAAAAAGGTGAGACTAGACCTGGAGCGGAACCTAAATATTCTAAACAGGTCCTAGGCCTCAATATTTTTTTCCCGTGTGATCAAGAGTTCAAGACCGAACCAGCCCGGGTGCACCCTTAAGAGCAACTATCCACGTCGCCCCCATAGTAGATATGCCCCCAAGTCCAAGTGCAAGTATAGTATATTTAGATGCCATGAATTTAATACAAGCATGACAGAATAAATTTTTTAATTTAATAGTGATGAAAAATCAATTTTTATATGTAGGCTTTTATAATATAAAAAAATGGTCTAAAAATACATTTGAAACCACAAGAAGTGAAAATTTGGTGTGTTAATGAAACATTTAATAACTTCATAAATAATACTCGTAACAGTCAGTTAGTCACCATGTCCACCTACCATGTAGTTTCCCCTTCCTTCCCTTAATAAATTGGTAAAGTGTTCCCGAAGAAAACAAAAAAAAAGCCACCATCTTAATTCAACAGTGCTTAGAAACAAAAAAAAAACGTCACCATAATATAATAATCACAAGAATGATAAATCACCTCAATTACACTTGGAGATGAACAAAAACTCTTAAAACTGCACACACCGTACACGCTCTAAATAGAGGTTGCATCCATTAATTAGCATCATGAAATCAAATTAAATTAACTACATTCAGATGAGTGTAAACAGACAGTAAATTAAGAGAACTTTAGCACTCGCATCCAGTTGATCTTTGTTGATGCCCACCCGCAACATCAATGGTATCGGGGAGATATCTATAAGCCAAGAGGGCATTGGAAAAACACTCAATATTAGCAACCTGAGAAAGTCCCATGTATTGATAAACTTTTTGATGTTGAGAACTTACATTTCTTCTTCAGGTTCATTCTTTAGAGCGTTTTTTGCTATACATTGGAAAGCCGCGTCCACATTGAATCCATCCTTGGCAGAGGTTTCAAAGTAAGGAATGTTTCCCTTAGAGGCACACCAAGCCTTGGCTTTCTTCTCAGAAACCTGAAATACCAAAGACCAATGGGGCATATTAGTAAAAGAAATAGAGCACAATCAATTTAGAAGGGAAAGAAACGTACCACCCGACTATTGCCACCATCAACATCTACCTTATTCCCCAAAACAACAAATGGGAAGTTATCAGGGTCAGAAGGACTAGCCTGCAAATTAATCGAAAAATAAACTTTTTGATCTATAACAGAAAATGAATGAAACTTCTGTAATTAGCACTGGGATGCATCAAAAGCTAACCTGAATGAGAAATTCTTCCCTCCAGTTGTTAAGATTCTCAAAAGATTTCATGACATTTACATCATAAACTAGAACACAACAATCTGCTCCTCGATAGAATGCAACACCTAGGCTTTGAAACCTTTCCTGTCCCGCTGTATCCCATATCTAATGAAAACAAAGAAACTCAAAATGAAAAACCATTAACATTATTTCCAATTCTCAGGCCCTTGTTGTGGTATGGTGCATTCCACAAGAGTCATTGTTTTGATTGTTTTTTTGTTTCATCGCGTTAAATCAATCATGAGAATTTTTTATCAATTTCCCCTGTTTCCCTTCTTTCCGATCTTAATTACGTAGTACTCCCTCCGTCCCATTTTACCTGTCCTACTTTCCTTTTTGGGCTGTCCCAAAATAAGTGTCTACTTTCCTCTTTTGGAAAGAAATATGTGGTCTACACCATTTCACTTTATTATACTCAAACTTCAACCACAACTTTTACTTTTTCAACCACTTCATTAATTACCGTGTCAAGTCAAACTAAGACACATAAAATGGGACGGAGGTAGTATTAATTAAGGAAAAGTGCCAAATAGGCCCTCGAACTTACATAAAAAGTGCAAATCGCCCCTTATATAAGAGGCTCTGTCCAGCCGTCGCCATTTGGGGCGGTTCCCGGTGGAATTTTTTGATGAAATTTCTTGAGCATCTTATTCATTAAGTTTAGTTTAGGAATACCAAATTTCAGCTAAAAATGCAACGGAGAAGGCAGTTAAATGATTTTATGAAATATACCACGCGGTTTAACTGTGCAGTTATCTTCAAAAATTCATTTGACTGCCTTCCCGAGTGAATTTTTAGCTGAAATTTGGTATGAATAAACTAGACTTAATGAATAAAATGCTCAAAAAATGTCATAAAAAAATCCATAGGGAACCACCCCAAATGGCGACGGCCGGACAGAGCCTCCTATATAAGGGGTGATTTGCACTTTTTATGTAAGTTTGAGGGCTTATTTGGTAGTTCTCCCATTAATTAAAATAAGCTCCAACAGTCCCAATAAATATTACTAGTACGATGTATCAATAATGGGTAGTTTTGCCAATGAGCACCAGACCGTCACTTTGCGGCCTCTTGTCAAAAGTAGACAAGGAAAGCTTGCCTCCTATACACCCTTGTGGTGGGACCCTTCCCCGGACCCTGATCTTGCAAAAACGTCAATGTGCATCACGTGCCCCTTATGAGTAGTTTTGGTGTAGTAATACTTTTTGTAAGCTTATAGAATTTCTAATCAATCTAACTATAAACTATTTGAAAAGGGCAAATGTCCTAGTTGGGGCTAATATAGAATGCAGAACATGAAATTTGCAGCAAGTTGCACTTCGAATATAAACTTCACATATTTAAGCATAAACTCAAACAGTGATACACAATCATTTGAACCATTAATCAATCATGTTTTCTCAACAGCCAAGTCTGATCAGATTAACTGTTGTTTAACTGTTGGGGACAAAACAGCAGTTAATTGGACAAATCACATGAATTTCACAATCGATGCAGTAAAACTCATTCCACCGTTGTGCTTGAAATTAACTGATCATTTTAAGAAGCACCACTGACCACTGGGATTGATTCTGTTCCACAACAATACTCATACTAAGATCAATCAAGTTATAAAGACATCGTATAAGACAGAATATTTGAATTGTCGCCTCTAGTAACACGCTGAAGTTTAAGAACAATCCAGAGACACCAACTTCACTCCGTTCTTTAATCCAAAATGATACAAGAAAAGAAACTCAAGAGTTGATAGAATGCTATTATGATCAGTGTTGTGAATAGCGGCGCAATAGCGCGCAATAGCGGAAAAGCGGAGCGGCAGACCTGTTAGGCGCTACAAGGAGGGGTCTCGCGTAGCGTTTGGGAGTTGCGGTCATAGCGCCCGCTATCGCAGCGGTGCACAGAAGAGAATAGCGGCCGCTAACGCGGCGCTTTTTATGGTGAAGAGTACTGCGCTAAATTTTAGCGTTAAAATTTTTAAGCGCAGACATAAGGGGGTAAATTAGACTTTTGAAACAAAATATTAACCTAGTTAAAACCCACAGACGTAAGTTAAAGGCTGCCAAAAGCTCAAACCGAAGCCAGCTTTTGAAAATAGTCCGCCGCACCTCTGCGATGGCTCTAACGACCATCATCTATTTCTTCTGCTCTAAATTTTTTGGCTGTTAATTTATCAAGGCTTAAACTCTTACACTAGAACCTTAATTTTGACTCAATGTTTTGATTTAAGATGTTTTAATTAGTAATAGCAACTTATGTTTTGCTCATGAAAGTATGAAACTAAAGAGTATTTCTAAGTAATTTAGGTGGGTGAACCATCTAGTTTCAATAGTCTCTTTGCAGACCTTAGATGTACCTTAGTCCTTAGCATAGTTAAAGCATATGCTTCCAGTAAGGCAAAGAGTATTTTTTTTATATGTATTTATTACATGTGCTTCTAGAAGTTACTTATCTATTAAATTTGAAAGTAGTCTAAATAGCGGTTATCCCGCTATCCGCTATACCGCTATAGCGTTTTTGGGGCTCGCCGCTACGCTCCGCTATCCGGGATTGACAACACTGATTATGATCACATGTTAAAGAGAGGTCTGATAAGAGTCATAAGACCAAGGCTACATAAACATCCACTCACATGAAGGGGGAAAATAGATTCAGTATATAATTTGTATACTCTTAATCTAACCTGCAGAGTGTACAGCCTGTCTTCAAACTGAACCTCTTTTGTCAAGAAATCAGCTCCAATGGTGGCCTTGTATTGATTGCTAAACTTGCGATTTACATACCTAGAATTAAACACACAGAGCACACATTAAAAGGACTACAAATGGATTTTTGAACATCATAACCAGAGTTGGATTAAGCATACTGGTTCATCAATGACGTCTTCCCAACCCTGAAAAACATTCAAATTACACCAATTCCAAGTCAGTTGTAAGCCTAGGGTATAAATGCAGTTATTTTGTAAATATCATTACTTAGGGCCCCTTTATTACAGTTGTGAGTTTTGAGGTAAACCGGTGTTGTGAAAAGCTAGTTATGGCAACCAATTTAGTAATGGCACAACAGGAACTGAGAAATTAAATTAATTGTTTTAAAAAATAAATAAATGATTCTTGAGAAGATATTTGTTTTAAAAAATAAATAAACAAAAGAATGTTGAGGTTGAACCTAAAAAATCATATAAAGAATAAAATACTAGAAATGAAACAAACAAAACTCAACTAACTGGATGTATGGAGTTATGATGGAAATGTGATGTAAATGCATCCACTTTGGTAATCCAACCAAACAGCAGCAATGCAATTAGTACACCAAGATGCGGTGTAATAAGAATTCGAAGTAAAAAGTACCAAAGCACCACAATGAAAGCTAAAACATAGATGCTCTTAGTTTAGTGAGATTAAGAGGTTGGCCTAGGCAAGGCCAGGTCTTCCCACCCCTGACTTACTGTTTTTTTTATTTACATCGACATGAGTGGAATTTATGTACATTTCGAGTAAAATTAAGATAGGACTCCTAAATTTTAGTATGAACAAATACTTCCCTTGTCCAAAATTAAATGTCTCACTTTTCTTTCTCAACTTTCTCAAAATACACTTCTTATTTCTATTAAAGGGAAAAGTTGTGTGGTTGATATTACTTTTGTCTTTTTAAAATAAATTTCATTTACACAATTTACGTTCTTCACTTCCGTACCCGTACGAAAAGCAAGTGAGAAGCTAATTATGGGACAGAAGGAGTAAATACTACATTCGTCTCAAGAAGTCATGTTTGACCAAGATACAACTTTTATGTTTTTGATAGGCACAAATGCTATAAATCATTAATCAGGCTTATATTTTTGAAATTTATTTGTTGATTTAACTAAACTTATCATGTGTATTTTGGTTGTGAATCTTTTTGGCAAATTAAAAAAGAAAAAAATAGCTTCATTTGATCAAGCTCTGGTACATTTTTAGGACAAAAAAGGTTTGAAACTGGACTCTTTTGTGATGGAGGGAGTATGTAATTAGTTCAGAAACACTGAAAGTTAAGGGCAGAAAACCAAATGGCTACAAGCTCATATTAGGCATACTAGCAGTTCATATCACATACCTTTGATCAAATACTCATAATTCCATTAATTAAAAAATTTCAAGAAATCTAAAAAGCCTCAAAAATTAATTAAACAGTGAAACGCTGCTTAAGTTATGCACAGTATATAATTCTCCTTAGCAAAATGTTATAGGTTCTGTTCAATTTGTTGTTAACAAGCCTTACTAAATGAAAAATGTTGTATAATGAAATAACCTGTAGTAAAAGAAAAATATGGTAGACTGAAATATTTAAAAATGATTCTTCATACATAACAAATAATTAAACAGTGAAACGCTGCTTAAATTATGCACAGTATGTAATTTGTTTTAAGTTGACCCCCGCTTCATATTAATTTGTTGTTTTGGTTATATATAAAAGTTGTTTCACAATATCTGTCGTTTTATTAATAAGTAAAGGGTATTTGATGTCAAAATTCCATTTTTGTCTTTCTTCTCCATCTAAATTCTGGCTAAAATTAACTTATAAATTCCAAGAGTGTGTATTAACTAATGATGGTTTAGGTTTAATACTATTCTTTTTGCAAGATTTTAAAATATTTAATTAATGAACTATCTTTATGTGTCTGGATAATTCTTAGTTGACACTTATATAACGGATGGAGTAACTCTTTTGTTTGACTTGCAATGAGCAGCTATGGTATATACAACAACAAAGCCCTAACATTATTCCTCTTTTGCATATGCGTAGTACTAGTAGTAAAAGTTTCAAGCTGATGATTCCTTTTGATATACTCACAGGCTACTAAAATGCTCCCCTATTCTCAGATAAGTTCTCACTTTGACTTTACGAATATTAAGAATGTTAAATTTTTGTTTTTGACTTCACATTATATCCTTATAAAAATAGTTAGGTATAGAGCTTGTTTGGTGACCCTGCTTTTTGGCTTATCAGCCTTATCACCAAACACACCATTATTTATTTCGCGAGCTGAATGGCTTAATAACCAAAATAAGTAAGGTTGGAGTTACTCTTCTGGCCAAAGTTACTGTACTGGAACACTTTAGCTATTTTTTTCATACGTATAATTTTTAACTTATTTTATTAATAAAATATATTCTAAATACTTTTTTTCATGATTAGCAAGAATCAGTCAAACTAACCGATTCATGCCAAATTTCATAAATTTCAGCGGATTCAACCAATTTCAATGTTACCAAACAGGCTCATTAGTAGGGATAAAATGGGAGTGTAAGGTAGGTAAATAAAATAAGAGTAACTTTATGATAAAAACTTTCCAAACATGGGAACTTTAATTTGGCCCTTCCAGCGAAGGAAAATGAGAACTTGTTTGAGAATGCTAATGCTAATAGCGCCTACTACAATGCTAATAGAGAAAAACGGATGGACTTGATTTATTGCAAATTGCAGCAATTTTCTAAATTCGTCCATTAATCCATTATTATGATGCATGCATATATTCCCTATAATGTAACATTACTCATCAATCCAGAGTGGTTTGGAAAATAAATATAAAAAACATGTGAGACCTGAGGCGACAATCACGATTCACGAATAAAATGAAAAACATCAAGTTAAATTCTCACCCGCTATCACCGAGGATTATGACCTTGAGAAGCATACGCCGGCGAGAAGCCATTTTTTCAGAAAAGAAATTAAAAGCAGCTAATACCGCCAATCGATTGGTACGGGGTGATTGGGTAAACGCGGACGAGGGGAAAGCCAGCTATTGAAGGAAATTTCATTCATAAAGATACCGATGATTGGCAAAGTGCATAGAGTTTTTTTAATATGCCAGCTAATATGCAGGCCGCATTTTGCAGAAATAAAACTATGTTATTTATTTTCTTAAAATAGGATTAAAAGCCTAAAATATATTATTTCTTCCGTATTTTACTATTTTAATGTTTCATGCACTTTGCATTTTGGGATGTATTTAAAAGTTTCATACATTTTCCCTTTTTGATAAATTTTTCCCTTAAAAATATTCAATTATCCTTACTTTTTCTACATTTTATTCTTTATTTCCTACTTTTTCACATTCTCTCCTACTTTTTCTATACTATTCATTACCCCTATCATTTTCCCTTAAATTTTATGTCATAACCTAATGTATGGCTCTTTTAAAGGGAAAACTATGAAATAGGTCCTCGTACTATATCAAAAAAGTCAATTAAGTCCTCATACTATAAAATAACTCAATCAAATCCTCTAACTTTTAAAAAAGAAAAAATTGCGTCCGTATTACAATTAGACTATTGAATTCTAAAAATATAACCTTATCTCTATTTTCTAAAAATATGACAAATCTGGAGAGAGCCCATCAGCCCAACGCATCACCTTCGCATAGATCCCAGCGCATACCTCGACGTCCATTCCGATTTCCAGCGCAGATGGCCATCTGCTTCGCATCATCTGCTCGGAAGGAGAGCTCGGTCGACCGCGGCTTGCATCACCGTCGGCCATCTCCTTCGCCGCCGCTCTCCTGCCGTCGCCGCCCTCCCCGCCGCAACTCTCTTCTTCTACTCATTTCTTCTCCACCACTATTGCTACAACTGAAATCGAAGATCTAGGCGTCATCCTCAATGGTCGCACCTCCACTGGGCAGCCATAGTTCATCGGCGCTCCAGGTACGCTCCTCTCCGTGATTTCGTCTTCTATTTTTAGATCTGAGGTGAAAGCTGTGGTTAGGGTTACGCCGGTGGTGAACGACGGCTATAGTTACAATAGTGGTGATGGGCAGTGTTGAGATCTGTTGGTTGGGGCTAAAATTTGTTGGTTGGGGAAGATATGTGCTGGTGGTGATGGGCTGGGGGTTGGGGGAGTGACAGATTGGGGGTTGGGGATATATGTTGGTGGGTGATGGTGTTGAACGGCAGTGATGAGCTCGCACGTTAGGAGAGGCCGGAGGGACAAAGGTAATGGGCAGTCTATAGAGACTGTAGTTGGCGGTGCCGGTTGGGTGGCCGCCGGAAAATTATTCGGTGTAATGTAGGACAGCAGTCACTGGCCGGGGCAGTGGCAGTCATTGGCTGGGGGCGGCGGCAGTCACTGCAATGGCGAGTCACTGTGGCGGCGAGTCACTGTGGCGGCGGAGTCACTGTGGCGGCGGAGTCATTGTGACCGGAGTCACTTTGGCGGGAGTCACTTTCGTCGGAGTCACTGAGACAGTGACTGGTGGCGGCGGCGGTGCCGGTGGCGGCGGCAGTGGTGGTGCTGGGGTCGCGGTCCGGAGGTGCTGGTGGCTACAAATGTATAAAAGGAATTTAAAAATATATATAATTAAATGTAAGGAATAAATGACTTTTAGTCACATTTTTGGAAAAATTTAAAACAAGTCACTTTTTTATCTTTTTCATTCATTTTAGTAATATTGGAATAAAAAGGCCTTTAAAAAACACTCAATTAGGTATTTTAACTTGTAAGCAACCGGTTTACAAGTTAACTTACACACATGTCAATCCACGTGGCAAATTTTACTCTTTTCCCATCTTTTTTTGTTTTTCTTTTTTCCCATTCTCTTTCCTGGACCGTCTTCTTCCGCCCAAGCCCCTGCAGGCTACAACTTGCCAATCAAATTAAAACAAACTTGCCATTCTTCATCTTCGGACCTTCAATGAGTACAAAGGAGCAGTGCCGCAAGAGACGACATGGGCCATGGGTGTTGCACTGCTGCCGCAGATCACCTTCTCTAATGCGTGGTGTGCCGACGACGTTAAGCATGGATTCACTGCTCTTCGGCCCTCTTCTTCTCCATCCAGCCGATTCTCTTTGCTGCTGCAAAAACTTGTTGATGATGATGGTGTGGTGGCTGCTGCAATGTCACCGGAAAATGGAGGTGTGGCTGTTGCAATGTCGCCGGAAAATGGAGGTGTGGTTGCTGCGAGGTCACTGGAGGTCTTGGAACCCATCTTCCGTCGAAGGTTGTTGAAGTTCTCTGTTGAATCCCCAAGTTTACCGGCGATCTTATCTTCGTGTTCATCCACCACCGCAGCAGTCAAGATGTTGTGAGTTGGGTGCCTTTGCAGAAGAAAGGAGGGAAATGACCAATGGGGCTTGGATCTGTTTGTTGGTTGCTTTGGTGAAGAAGAAAATCATGGAGTGAAAGAAGAAAGAAATAGAAACAAGGAAGAGTTGCAGGCGTATGGGTCGAGGCGTGGAGAGGGAGAAGAAAGAAAGAATGGAAGAAAAGGAAAAAAATGACACATCACTGTCCAAGTAAGCTAATACCGGTGATTGGCGGTGATATTTTTGACCAACCGGCTAAGAATGACAATTGGGTGTATTTTTATAGTTGAAGGACTCAATTGGGTGTTTTAATAGTAGAAGGACTCAATTGACTTTTACGATATAGTACGGGGACCTATTTGATAGTTTTCACCTCTTTTAAATACGGAGAGAGTATATTTTTTATGTACTGTTATCATAACTTAATACTCCCTCCATCCCAATTTGTTTTGCAAAGTCAACATTTTTTTGTCAACCAATAATAAAAGTCAACCCTCCCTATGAATAATTAATTCAATTTTTAATAATTAAAATTTACATATTCAAAAACTACATTAAAATCTCTTCAAAGTTGTAAACTCCAAATTAGAAAATAATTAAAAATTGACATCCTAATTAAGTGAACAAAACGAGACTGTTTGACTAAGAAAAGTCAAATTTGCAACTCTTTTTGGGACGGAGGTAGTATGACAATCATATTCTTACATTACTATTTCTTTACTTATATTTTGGATATATTCTTAAATCTAAAATATTGTGAAAGAGAAAATTTTCTCGTTCTTATCTTATCTTATTCTTAAAAGCACTACATATGAGAGAGGAAATTATCTCACTTAGTTCTTAGCAGACTTATCTTATATCTTAAACCACTACGTATGAAAGAGAAAATTTTACCGCTCAATTGTTAGCTGGCTTATCTTATACCTTAAGGCTCTGTTTGCAATCACTTAAAATAAGTGATTGTGGCTTTTTTTTAAGAAAAAAATTACTTATTTTACCAAACACTACCAACTTTTACTTTCTCGGTTTTCATATAGAATGTGCTTTTTACTTTTTCTATTACACAAAAAACACTTATTTTACCAAACACTGCCAACTTTTACTACTAATCACTTTTTCCCAAAAAGTGCTTTTATTTTAACACAAGTGATTGCAAACAGAGCCTAAAACACTACGTATGAGAGAGAAAATAATTTCGTATTTTCGCTCAAGTTATAGCCGACTTATCTTATACCTAAAAGCACTACGTATGAAATATAAAATTCTCCGACTCAAGTTTTAGCCGGCGCATCTTATACATTTATTTATTTATACCAAAAAGGATATGTATGAGAGAGAAAATTCTCTCATTTTATTGTTTTGGTCAGTTTATCTTATCTTATAGCTAAAAGCTCTACGTATGAGAGAGAAAATCTTCTGGCCAATTGTTAGTCGGCTTATCTTCTTATACCTTAAATCAATATAAATGAGAAAGAAAATTGTCCCGCTTAATTGTTAGTCGGCTTATCTTATACCAAAAAGCACAACATATGAGAGCGAAAATTCTACCGCTCAATTGATATACGGCTTATGTGATCTAATCTTATACCTAAAATCACCTACATATGAATGAGGGAGAAAATTATCTCGTTTGATTGTTAGTCGGCTTATCTTCATATACTTAAAAGCACTACATATGAGAAATAAAATTCTCTCAGTCAATTGTAGGATGTTTATCTTATACATATGAGAGAAGAATTTTTGCCGCTCCATTGATAGCCGCCTTATGGCATAACCTTCTTGTGCCTAATCTTATGCCTAAATGCACAACATATGAGAGAGAAAACTCTCTCGTTCATATGCTGAAAGTTGGGGTGCATGTGATGCTTATAAGGAATATAGAGCATTCATATGTAATCTCGATTGTTGGATGACACACGACTTCTGTTGATTGAACTTGGAACTAATATTATCTAGACTTAGATGATGCACAGAAAACAAATACTAGTGAAAAGTTTTTTACTCCAATACTCACTTTAACACAGTCAGACGGTATACTCTTGTTCATATTCCAGTGTTGACAACTTACATTAAATGAATGAACGTTACCTATTATGGTCAATAATATGTCTCACCCCATATCATGAGAATCTCTTATCCAAGTTGGTTGGTTGAGGCGTCATTGAAAATATCTTGAAGAGAACTTTCATACGAGCTGCATTTTTGGTGAAGAAGATGTCACAGTCTAAATCGAATGGATGAACACTCGAGGTAAGAATATGGGTCCCAAAACATTGTGTGTTTGATTTCTAGGTTTCCCCTTGATTGTTTATAAAGCCCATGGCCGATCAAGAAGGATGTTCTACACAATTAAATGTGTAGGATAGGATCTTAACACGATAAGTTATTTAATCGTTCAAAAGGTTGGATACTAACCTAGGGTGAATTTTGGAAGGCTAAGAGGTGAACTCGTCGGGATACACCCCTTTTAGGAGACTGTTTTCATATCTTTTGCTAGGGGACGAACCATCACATGGAGAAGGTCACCTAGCTACTATTTCTGAGAAACGAATCCATAATCAATCGTCCTTGGCGTCCTTGGCTGGGGTTTTGACCACTGGACTAAGAGAGGACATATGTAGGAGCTATTGAGGTGGGGATAAACATCTAATTGCTTATAACTTGTAGGTTAAACATGAGATTACCTAAATGCCTAAATTGTGATTTTCTTGGATTGTGATGCCTAAAGTATGGTTATATTTATCTATGAACGAATTTATTTATGATACGGAATTATATAAATGATATAGTGTTAATTGAGCTATTAATAAACTCTTATGTTGAAATAAGCATTTCTAGCTCACGAATGGATTATGTGATATATAAATGAGTATTTATATATTGCAAACGACCAAGAGTGTAGTTGTCACGTATCTCTAGGTATGTTGAAATAATACATGAATACTTGATTTGACAAAATCAATCCTAATAGTATTAAGGTACTAGCTTAAGATTGTTTATAATTGTTTATAGAATTGATCCTAATGGCTGAGTTTTGTGATTTGTACTTGAATATATTTCAAGTGAATAAATTAAAAGGTTTGAAGCTTAGATTAAGCTAGGGACATTCCTAAAGGATGACCCAAAGTGATTTACTTGATATGTTGATTTTAGGCATAGGAGTTACTTTAAAATAGAATAATTACGTGCTGAGTACTTTATATAGATGTATCGCATTAGTGTCGAGCACTAGGTATGATTGTGTGATTAAAGAATTAGTGTCGAGCACTACAAAGTTTGACATCGTATGCATTGTTGTCGAGTAACATGTACAGATGTATCGTGTGCATTAAGATGTTTTTACTTTGAATTGAAACTTGTTGGTTTGGCTGGTCGTTTAAATCTGATCTGATCTGGTCCAAATTGGTCTGGTCTGAATTGGTTTAGTGCATGTCTGGTCTCTCTATATTTTATAGCTATGGAAGTTTGGTCTTGTCTGGTCTGATTTGACATGTTTAAGTTTGGTCTAATATGGTCTGGGGTTGAAAACAACCCAAGTAAAAACATCTGTATTGCCAAGCAACACGTACAGACGTATCATATGCATTAGTGCTGAGCACTACGGTCTACGTATGATGGGAATGGTTTGTTTTATAATGAAAATGGGTCTACAGGCCGATTGCTTGACATTATATAAGTAAATATATTTTTAAACAGGGTAACTCAGGGGGGTTAAGATCTGGATTATACTATCATTCTATTTGAGGGTCTTGTGTTTCAAATACTTGTTATATATCTATTAGTTGTCATCATCACCAGTACATTGAAGTTAGAGTAAAGTACTAACCCCTTCATGGGCATTCCACCACCATTTTAGGTTGAGGTTGGAACTTTTAAGTCTTGACCCTTTTGACGAGAAGTTTTAAGGAGCCATATGTGACTCTTGTATGAAGTGATATATGCTATGTAGGCATCACCATCAATATACATTTTTAGTGAGAGTTCCGAGTAAAAAAAATGTGTGGTGATGGTGATGCCCATTTAGCATATATCACTCCAGACTCCATACAATCTCTTCATACAATATTCATATATTTTTAATTAAAGTATAATTTTGAAACCTGAATTTTCAAAGTTATTTTTTGACAGACCTTTCTCAAAATATTGATTTCGATTTCATTTTTCGCTAATTAGCTTAACTTCTAATTTTCTCTTCCGGTTCTAATTGAAATATTGGATCCTTTTTATCTTTTAATGGCTATAATCAACGGTAGGGACTAGGGAGAAGAGTTTTTACGTAGATTACCGGAAGACTCACGATTGAGTTGGAGATGAAATATCATTTTTAAATGTGTGTATTAAGAACCTCATTGGAGATGCTCAAAATCACTGGCAGCTTCACTTTTGTTTTGAGGATCATCTAGCCGTGGGCCCGTGGCAACTGTCTATTTAGATGCTCGTTTTTTAAATGGGGTATAGTGATTACCTTTTATTCAAAAGGGGATGCACCGTGCACGGGGGATTCGGCACTCAACACATAATTACATATGGAGAGCACAACAATATTTAGACATCCCAGTACCTCATCCCGGTGTAGATATGAAGGTTACAATGGAATAAGCTCAAGTACAATAACTCTATGCCCTAGGCCTGTTTATTGTGTTCTTTCTGGAAGATCCGGTTCCTCCTTTTCAGTTTCTTCATCACCCTCTTTCTCCTCCTCTTCCTCTTCCTCTTGCCTTTCTTCTTCCTCCTCATCCTCTTCCGGGGGAGGATCGGCTGGTAATGGAGGCGGCAGTGGAGTTTTCATAGGGCTGAATTGGGGAAAGATGTCTGGTCTGCGACCAGGCCTTGGTCTTTCCCATTCCTGCCATCATTTTTTTCTGAATGCATTATGTTGAGGTGATAGTTGACATAGATATGACAATCACTCGTGATTTTTCAAGGAAAGACCAAAACCATATTCAAGAGTAGAAAACCATGGGATGATTAATTATTTGCAAAGAAATAACAAACCACACAAACTGGTTTAACCACTGCTCTGAAATTATATGAGCATGGTTTAAAAAGGCGCTTAAGAGGCGGGTTTTGAGGCTCGCCTCAAGGTGAGGCGTACTAATTGGGTATCAGGGCTTAGGGTTTTTTCGCAGGTTAAGAGGCTTACGCCTAAAAAGTTGAGGCGTACGCCTTGAGGCATTTTTTGAGGCGTTTTCCTTTGTTTCTCTGTTTTTAATGTGCAGTAACTTTAAAAAGTGCCAAAGCAATTATTTAATATAAGGCCCAGAGTACTTTTAAATAGAAATCCATTAATTAAACATGTGGCCACACTAAACCCTAACAAGTCTTATTTCATTTAAACCCTAATAAGTCTTTATTCGTTTAAACCCTATACATTCTATCCATCTTTCAGTTTGTGTGTGATGTTTATGTTGGTGTCTTTGAAAATTCTAATGAATTACTGGTATTGGCTCATATGTCTGTGTTTCACACTTTTTGGACTTATAATTATGGATATATCCTTTGCTTCTTTAGTTGGTTGTTAGTTTGTTACTAGTTTAACTATTTTATGTTTTATATGTCTATATATTGAGGCTTACGCCTCAATATGCCTCAAGGCTTACGCCTCGCCTCTTAGGAACAAACCGCCTTGATACCCGAACCCACCTTTTTAAACCTTGTATATGAGTAATGTGAGGCAACCAAGAAAATCTTTGCATGTGAAGTAAGATAGAGAACAAATGTATTCCCAATAGTACACAAAAACAAAAACAGTTATCTCAGAGGTAAACACAACCAACACTTCATACAGAAATACCTAATATGGAGTATTAGAAATCTGAACATCATTTTTAAAAACCGACGAAGAACATCATTAAAGTGTTACATCAGCTTCCTCAAAACTCATTGCAACTGTATTGTTTTAATTTATGTAATACACTAGCTCAAACAAACTCTCTCCTCTTAAGAGAAGTGAAAAGGTCTACATACATCACACCCTTCCAATACCCAAATTCAGAGTGTCACTGGCTGGGTTTGTTTGTTTTAATCACTGTAGTATGCAATTCACCTCAAATAAGCTGAACAGCTACGTTTTCCCCTTGGAAAACAAATTCAGAAATTAATTCTTCACTGCCTTTCTGATGAAGGAAATTTAGCATCACCCTTGGGTTTAGTTGTCTCTCATAATATACAATATACAATATCCAAAACGATGAACGCTCAATTTTGGTACATTGACTAGAAGTCTAGAAGTGGCATTCTTAAGTCTAAACATTACTCCTTGACGGTAAAATTTCAAAATTTCAGCTTTAAATCAATTTCAGAGTTCAGTTATAGTTACTTCCTTCGCTATGGTGGCATTCTCTATTTAAAGTGTCCTGTTTAAAAAGGAGACTTCTCTTGTTCTCATGGACTTCAACTTTCTACTTATAACATGCCTTCATCTTCAACCAGCAAATAGTTTTCTTATTTATTTACTTCTTTTTTTGTGGTTAAATCTAAACATTTTGTTTGTTTGTCACCAAGATAACGCCATAAAGGTGAGTTCAACTGTTTATTTGTTATTCTTTGTAGTTGTAATTTTAGGGCAAATGAGTGACACAACAAAAATCGATACTTTGAAATGCAAATATACAATTTAGAATGAGTCTACGGCACACAAATACGAAAGGCAACAAATTTCTAAATTTAAAACAGACGATCTGTATATACATAATTGACAGTGAAAATAGTAAAATAGCTAAGCAATGAGGTATAAAGAGTTAACCATGGGGAATTCAAGTGGAGAACGGCGAGTTAACTTCTCTTCTTCAGGAGCCATACGCACGACCTGTGACTTCCGACGGTTGAGCCATACAGCGTTGTTCGCTAGACGCAGAGGCGGCGGCGGCATCAAATAAGCGCAGGCCTGAGGCTGTGGGAAGACAACTGCGCCACCATACAGAGAGGAAGAACTCAACCCCGCCGCCGTAGGATAAGAGGTGAGAGAGTGCGAGAGTAACGCCATCGCCGCCGGGCCCGGTGTTTCTGGCTTTCCTTCTTCTCCCCCTAGTATATAAGAAGCTGTTCCCTTCGCCATCTCAATTTTTTAAGTTCAGATCTGATCTAAATTTTTTAAGTTCTGATCTGATCTGAATTTTTTAAGTTCTGATCTGATTTGAATTTTCTAATCTGATCTGATCTTATCTGAATCTTTCTGATCTTATCTGAATCTTTTTTATCTGGTCTGATCTAATCTGAATCCTTTTGATCTGATCTGAATCTTTCTAATCTGATATGATTTGAATATTTCTACAATTGTAATTATAATTAATATAAAAATTAATATAATTTAAATATAATTATAATTATAGCCATAGTTATGAAAAATTATAATTATAATTATAATTTTAATTAAAATCAAACTTATAATAATTATACCTATTACTCTAATTATAATTATAGCTATAATTATATTATTAATACTAATTATTTTTATAAATATAATTGTAATTATAATTATAATATTTAATTATAATATTTATTTATAATTACAATAATTATAATCATAATTACTAAGTATAACAATAATTATTGTAATTATAATAATTATTATTAAAATTATAATAATAAGAATAATAATAAAAATAATAATAATAATAATGATGATGATGATGATGATGATGATGATTATGATGATGATGATGATGATGATGATGATGATGATGATGATGATGATGATGATGATGATGATGATGATGATGATGATGATGATGATGATGATGATGATGATGATGATGATGATGATGATGATGATGATGATGATGATGATGATGATGATGATGATGATGATGATGATGATGATGATGATGATGATGATGATGATGATGATGGTGATGATAATACTCCTACTACTAATAATAATAACAATAATAATAATGTTATTATTATTGTATTACTATTGGTATAATAATAATAATAATAGTAATAGTAATAGTAATAGTAATAGTAATAGTAATAGTAATAGTAATAGTAATAGTAATAGTAATAGTAATAGTAATAGTAATAGTAATAGTAATAGTAATAGTAATAGTAATAGTAATAGTAATAGTAATAGTAATAGTAATAGTAATAGTAATAGTAATAGTAATAGTAATAGTAATAGTAATAGTAATAGTAATAGTAATAGTAATAGTAATAGTAATAGTAATAGTAATAGTAATAGTAATAGTAATAGTAATAGTAATAATAATACTAATAATAATAATAATAACAATAACAATAATAATAATAATATAATAATAATGATGATGATAATAATTTTTGTTATTATTATCATAAACGTGATAAATCATGTTTGAACTTTTCTGATCTGATCTGAATGTTTCTGATCTGGCCTGGTCTGATCTGAATCTTTCTGATCTGATCTGAATAAAATAAGAATAAGTAATAAGAATAAGACGAACAGAATAGCTTCTAAGTCCCTCTTTACTTTCAACCGCCTTTGCACGCAGCGCACGTGCTTAGAAAATGGGCTAATAATGGTTGGGCTTCAAACAAACCTTCGGCCCATATATATCTTAAGACTTTCACCCATTCAATAATTCTTCCGGGGTAATTTGAGTTTGCACCCTATTTTATTGTCCAAATTAGACTTTGCACCCTGTTTTTAAAAATCTTTGTTTTTGCACCCTGACCCCATATGAAAAGACAAAAATGCCCTCCATCAGAAATATGTTGAAGGCCAACAAAATTGTTAATGGAGGGACATTTTTATCTTTTCATGTGGGTGGGAGTGCAAAAACAAAGTTTTTTAAAAACGGGGTGCAAAGTCCAATTTGCATAATAAAATGGGGTGAATCAGGCTTTATGCAGCTGGGAAGCAATGGTAAACTGCTAAACCGCCACGATTTCTTATGCGGATGATGATGATAATAATAGCAACGTTATATTTATTCATTGGATAGTCTGATCTTTATCAATTTTGATTTATGGTCGCAAAATAGGGGAAGGGAACTGGCAGCTTCGGCAAGAGGAGGAACAAGTCACACACTCTGTGTGTGGGGTGCGGCCGCCGGAGCTTCCATCTACAGAAGAGCCGACGCCCTGCTTGTGCTTCCCCAGCTGCACACATTAAGAAATGTAAGCGATATTCCGTTTTTGCGTCGATAAATCTCTCTCTCTTCGGTGCTAAAGTCCGTGTATGTAGATAACTGGAGGGCGAAAGATATCCGTAGAAAGACTACCGGGACTGGTCGTATGAAGTATCTCTGCGACGTGCCTCGCTGATTCAAAACCAATTTTAGAGAAGGTACTGCCTCTTCTTGCCATGGAGTTAAAACGTGTAGGATTTTAGGTGGTGTCCTGCTTTTCGTTAATTGAAGCTAGCTGTTTGATTAGGTACTGTAACAGCTCCCCGAAACAAGGCTACATCAACTTCCGCTTGAAGGCCTTTGAGAATGGTGGATTTATGGAGATCGCTCTTTGTTTTTTCCTTCTCTTCAACACGTACTTCAATACACTTGAATTGGAGGAAGATAGTGACTATCTGCAAGGTTTCTTGTTATGAGTTTGTGCCCATTCAATCGTTAGCTTTGTTTCCATTCAATACTTTTCTTATAGCAGTCTTGTTTTGAATGTTTACTTTTGCTATAAGCCCAGTGTTTTGTTGTGTTTTATAAGTTGTGCTTCCTCATGCTTTACGATTATCAAAGGGAAATGGTGGTAAATAGGACTGTAACTTTCCCTATGTAATTAAATAGGACCTGCACTTTTTTTACTCCTAAATAGGAGTTAATTTTCCGTTGTTTCCATAATTGCCCCTTTTCGTTAATTAGGACTCACGCCTTCTGTTTCCCGTTATTTTCTTCCTTCTCCTCCATCCTTAGTTCGCCGAGTTCATATTCTTCACAATCAGCTTCGGTCGATTTCATCTTCCCTTCACCCGCACCTTGAGCTTCGGCCGATTACATCCCTGCATCATCTAGGTTCACCTTCACCAGAATTCACCTTCAGCTAGGTTCACCTTCACCAGAATTCAGTTGCATTCCTGCATCATCTTCTATCATTGATTTTCATCTGAATCGATCAACGTCTAATTGCTATGGATTTTCACCTGCATTGATTTTGATCTGTCCTGTGCGGAAATCGAGGTTTTTTGGTTCGATACATCCAAATTTCGACATTCATCGTTTGAGGAGTTCTATAATCGTCTTTGATGCTAGGTAAATGTATTTAATTTTTGCGTTCTTAAATTGTATGATCAGTGTATTAGAGTGTCCATTGTTGTTATTTATTTTTTGATTATTAATCGTTTTCATTCTGTTTTGATTAATTTTTGATATTTTTGATTGTATTTACGTGAGTCAGTACATACGTTTGACTTGATGATCTGTGTTGTGACATTGTTTACAAAATATAGGTCATTGCTGGCATTGTTTATGTTCTGTGTTGTAACATTGTTTAAAAACTATAAAATATAGTTCATACTTTGAATACTTTATGTTCTGTGTTGTGACATTGTTTACAAAATATAGGTCATTGCTGGCATTTTTTATGTTCTGTGTTGTAACATTGTTTAAAAAATATAAAATATTGTTCATACTTTGAATACTTGATGTTCTGTGTTGTGACATTGTTTACAAAATATAGGTCATTGCTGGCATTGTTTATGTTCTGTGTTGTAACATTGTTTAAAAAATATAAAATATAGTTCATACTTTGAATACTTGATGTTCTGTGTTGTGAGATTGGTCATTTTTGATGTCATTGTTCTGAAAGTTATGTCATTGTTATATTTTCAAGTGTCACAGGCATGAATACTAATATTCTTTTAATGGTTAAAGTTGATGGTGAATGGAATTCTGACAATGTGTTTTGCAATAAACACACTGTTGGTTTTTCAGTTATATTTGGATTGTCTTATACTGATTTCTGTGAGAAATTGAAAGGTTACATTTTCAAGGGAGGTTGCCAAAAAGATTTTAGAATATCTTATCTTGTTCAATCATGTCCTCCACCTGTTTTTATACTTGATGATATAAGCCTTTCTTTATATCTTCAAATAAAATCCATACATCCAGATTTTTCACAATTCTCAATTTGTGTTGAGTTCATTGCAAATGAACTTCCCTCTTTTGATTCCGGCAGTCTTCCCTCTTCTTCTACAGTTGATTCTTTAAATAGCATATCTTTTGATTCCAGCAGTCTCCCTTCTTCTTCTGCAAATGATTCTATTTTGCCACATTCTTTTGATATGAATGACAACTGTTTTGGTACTAGTGTCCATAAGCATTTTAAGGTTTATACACGCTGTGATCCTATTACTATAGCATTGGACGCTATATACAGGAATAAACGTGATCTCATATATCACTTGAAGATGTATGCTATTGAGAATAACTTTCAGTATGGTACTAAAACTTCAAATAAAGAAAGTTTACATGTGATTTGTCCTGATGAAAAATGTGAGTGGGCTGTTCGTGGTGTTCGCCTTCCTGCCTTCTTTCAGATTCGCAGGTTGAATTCCAACTTTAACATTCTTTACTTATTTATTCATTTATTTATTTATAGCTGTAATTATCAGTTACATTGTCTCTAATTTTTATTTTTATTTTTTTAGATTTGATTCAGTTCATTGTTGTTCAGTGGATTTCAGAGAGGGTGATCACAAGCAGGCCACTTATGACATTGTTGCAGGCATTGTCGTTCATCGTTACTCCAATGCTTCTAAGAAACCCTATCCGCCAAATGACATAATTGAAGACATCCGTAGAGAATATGGCATATCTATGTCTTACCGTAAAGCTTTGGCAGCTAAGAGACATTCAATGAAGCTTCTCTTTGGATCCGATGAGGAATCGTATCAATTATTACCTTCCATGTGCCATGTCATTGGAAAAGCTAATCCTGATTCTGTGATAAATATTGTTCGTCGTGCTGATTCTGTTTTCAAGTACATGTTCTTGTCATTGTCTGCGTGGAGGAAAGCTTGGGATCACTGTATTCCTGTACTAACTGTTGATGGTACTTTTATGAAGGGCTATTTCAAGGGGACTTTGCTCACTGCCTGTACCAGGGATGTCAACCGTCAAATTGTTCCATTAGCTTTTGGGATATGTGAAT